CCTCCACAACTAGGCTGAAGAACAAAAAGGACAACAACTTGTCTGTTCCCCTTCCCCCAATTCCCCAGAACTGTTCCCATCCCCCCAATTCCCCAATAAAAATCTTTAAAAACAAACAAAAAACAACAAAAAATAAAAACAAAAAACATTCTGATAGTTATCTCGGGGTTGTTCTATTTCTTTTTGTACAGCTTTGTTCAGATATAATTTACCTACCATAACATTCACCCATTTTAAGTGTACAATTCAATAATTTTTATTATATTCATAGAACTGTGCCACCATCACAATATTATTTTAGAACATTTCCATCACCTCAGAAGGAAACTTCATGCCCATTCATAATCATTCCTCATCCCCACCCTGGCACCACTGGTCTACTTTCTGTCTTTCGGGATTTACCTATTGACATTTCATATAGATAGAATCCTACAATATGTATTCTTTTGTGTCTGACTTCGCTCACTGAACGTATTTTTGAGATTTATTCCTGTATCAGTACTCCATTCTTTTTTATTGACAAATGTATTCCATTGTGTGGATATACTACATTTTGTCTATCCATTCAACAGTTGATGGGCATTTGGGTTGTTTCTACTTTTTGGAGATTGTGAAGACTGCTATGAACATTTGTGTATACAAGTTTTTGTGTGGACATGTTTTCATTTCTTCTGGGTGGATACTTAGGAGTAGAATTGCTGGCTATAAAATAATTCTATGTTTACCATTTTTATAAACTGCCAAACTTTTTCAAAGAGGCTGTACCATTTCACTTTCCCACCACCAATATGTAAGGATTCCAGATGTCTCCATGTATTCACCGATACGTTACCCCCCTCCCCCTTTTTTTTACAGCCATCCTAGTTACTGAGGAATGGCATCTCATAGTTTTGATTATATTTCCCTGATGACTAATGATGTTGAGCATCTGTTCATGTGCTCATTGGCCATTTGTATGTCTTTGGAGAAATGTCTATTCAGGATCTGTTGACCATTTTACAACTAGATTATTTGTCTTTTTGAATCATAAGAGTTCTTTATATATTCTAGATATAAATTCCTTGTCCAATATGATTTGCAAATATTTTAGGATTATTCTAGATAGAAAAAACATGGAAGCAGCTTAAATGCTTTCTGATAGTTCATCCATGTAATGAACTTCTGTGCAGCTTTAAATTTAGATGTAATATTTAGTCACTTAGAAACATGTACCATAATATATTGGTGAAAAAAAGTATTATACAGTCCCATTTGTGTGTGAGAGTGTGTGAGGGTATGTGTGTGCATGCATATACACGCTTAAGAAATTGGAAAGCTGTTGGGTTTCAGAAAAGTCATGACGCATTTTTGCAACGAAAAACAGAAAAAATATGTCATGACTTTTCCGACAACCCAATATATGACAAAGCTTTAACTGTACTTGTCTCAGTGTAATATGATTGAGACTGATTCTTTCCCCCTTTAAACCTTCCTTTGTTCAGATTTTTACAGTGAGCATATCATTTTTATGATCAGAAAAGTAAAAATGATTTCCAGTGGAAAGAAAAAGCTTATGAAATCTAGAGCTTCTTTGAGCCCATGGTATTCCCACACTGTTTACTCTGAAAGCACTTGTGGGCTTATTAAGGTGTAGAGTGAAACTAGAGGAGTGGGAGCAGGAAGGGGTGAAGAAAGAGTGCCTGGTACGAGCTGATAATTCATGAGAGCTTAATTTTTTTTGACACTGATCTATCCCTGTGGCTGTTGTCATCTATCAGCTCTTGGACTGTAGCACTAATCACATGATTTTTTAGATCTTACTTTTTTTGTTTAGGGGTAAAATGACAAGAGACAGCTGTCCTGGGACCTTGCTTTAGGTTTCATTATGGCTTTTTCCTCAGCCTTTCTAATGTTTGTTTTTTCTCTTCTGACTTCCCTAGACCGAGTGACGGTTCTCTACAGGAGCAAAGCAGTCGGCTATACGTGGCCTTATCCGTTTTCCATGGCAGACTCCAGCCCTTGGGTTCATATTACCCTAGGTGATGGCAGCACCCTCCAGACCAAATTGTTGGTAGTTGAAGCTTCTTATTTTGCCCGGGGTCTTGCATATCCACATCTTATCCTCAGTTCTAGGGCCTCAAGTTTTAAAGCTAAGCTATCGTTGACATGAATTGTAGGAAAGCTCTTGGTTATAAGCACGCACTTAAGCCAGCTCAAGTTAAGATGGTCTTGTTGTAAATCCTGTACAGGAAGCAATCTCCTGGACCATCTTAGGTCACGAAATAAGGACAGCTGGCCTCACAGGGACAGGAACCAGAGTGTCAGACATTGAGGCTGCTTTTTCCCTCTCAGGAGTACCGTAAGTTACTTACCTCCTTGCAGCTTCCACTTTTTCTCTCTGCTCTCTTGAGCTTCCTCTTTTATGTGGCAGCCATTCCTCAACTCACATCAGGACTGTTAGCTCTAGTGCCTGCCTTATTGTTTTCTAGTTCAAATACCAAGAGAATTTGGCCGAGTTTAACCTATGGCTGGTAACTCATGGTCAGATGTCCAGCGTTGATCTGTTAGCTGAGGCTGGGGTCACATATGTAGGGCTACCCCTGTGGGGGCTGTGAGTGAGGTTGGCGTGATGGAAAGTTGCCTGCCATAGATTGGCTTGCCAGCAGTTGGAACTAGAGAAAACTTGAGGAGACAGAGATAAACTTCTGGAACAGTTTCATTTATGAAAAGGTTGTAAGACTTAGCAGGCTCTTATCTTCATGCAGATTGGTGCAGATGGTCACAACTCAGGAGTACGACAGGCTGCTGGGATCCAGAATGTTAGCTGGAACTACGACCAGTCCGCTGTTGTGGCTACTCTGCATTTATCGGAGGTCAGACCCTGAGCCACCATCTGGGGAACCCTGCTTGTTTCATGTGTGTGCTTCTCACAAAAACTCTTCTCTCGATTGTAGGTAACAGAAAACAATGTAGCTTGGCAGAGATTTCTCCCCTCTGGGCCCATTGCTCTGCTCCCGGTAAGAAGTCCTTCTGGCTTGTCTGCTGGAACACATGCGGCCTTTTTTAGCACTTCATTTCCTCTCAGCCATTTTCTGGTTTCAAGTGAATATGCCCAGGCTGGCTTTGTTTTTCTCCTTCTTACCTTCCTTTATGCTTGAGAGCTCCCAAGGACAGAAGTTTCAGCACTTAGTACTGATGTTGTTCTTTGGACAGCTCTCGGACACCTTGAGTTCCTTGGTTTGGTCCACATCCCATGAACACGCAGCAGAGCTGGTCAGCATGGATGAGGAAAACTTCGTGGATGCCATTAACTCTGCCTTTGTGAGTATCAGCTTGTCCATCTGATGAGGTGTTGCAAGGTTCCACACAGGAAGGCGGTTTTGAGTAGGGAAAAGAAATAACCAGCCAGCTGCCCATTCATAAAGGTAACGCTTGACCTGGATTACTGGAGGAGGGCATTCAGGGAAATGCAGAGCAAGAGGAGTCAGTGACTGAGCTCTTCTGAGGGTCGTGGGCTGCCGTTACGCTGATGGGAACGGCTGCCTGGGTGGTAGTTAGCATTGGCCTTGTTTTGAAGCTGTAATACTTGAATGACCTTGAACAGCTCTACTGGGTCCCAAGTTCCCAAACCTCTGAAGCCTGACTCATCAGAGGCGCTCTGGAGGAGGGCTGAGCACAGTCCAGTGGGGAGCTTAAGAGGAAGCTTTATAGACAGACATGGATTCAATACTGGTATTGTAAATCCCCTGAAAAATGGAAATACTATCACCAGCCTCGGGTTAATAACAGTAGTAATTAGTATAATAAAAGTCTAGACTTTTGGCCATTTGAGCTTCCTTTGCTTGGCCCGCTCCAAACTGTGGAGTGTACTTTCTCTTCTAATAATGACCCTTGAGCCATTCTCTGCTTTTTCTCCCGCTTCTGCTTCTTTGAAATGTATTTCTTTCTTCTAATAAACTCCTTTTCTGCAACTTAAAAAAAAAAGTCTAGACTTTTAAGATGAGAGACTATAAAATGCTTGCAACATACCTAATACATTGTAGGTGCTCACCAAATGGTAATGGTTATTCTGGAGTGATACAACTTTTAGATAATATGCCACCAGTATTTTTGGAGTTTAAATGCCATATTTATCTAAATTCATAGTAATAATTGGTAACATTTATTGAGCACATACTATGTGCTAGGTACACGTGAAGAATTTTTTTTATTAGTTTCAGGTGTACAAAACAATGTTAGACATTTCACCCCTCACAAAGTGATAACCCACCACAACCTACTACCCCTCTGACATCGTATATAGCTATTACATTTCCATTGACTCGATTCCCTATGCTGTACTCTACACCCTGTGACTATATATGTATACATGTACATATATATATTTTTATTTATTATAGTTGACATTCAGTATTATTCAACAGGTGAATAATTTTACCTGAATTTCTGTATTTAATTCAGTGACCCTTTGTGGTAGGTACTATAGGTACTATTGTGATCATTTTGAGACAGGTAACTTGCCCGAGGTCACACAACTAGTGGCAAAGCTGGGTTCTGAGATCAGGCTGGCCCTCAAGCCTTGGCTTTAACCACCAAACTCTGCTACCTCAATAGTGACTTCACACCGGTTTACACTGACGAACTTAAGCTTCACTGCTCTGTAGTAGCAATAAGAATAAAAGGAACTGGACATCCTTAAAAGGCTTCCAAGATAAATGCTACCCCTCTCTGGGTCATTTAGCATAGAGTCCTGGCTCAGGCCTTTGTAGTACATTCATTTAGCAACACTTAGCAGTGCCTTCTATGTAGGAGGGTCTGGAGATACACAAATGAGACACAGTCCCTGCTTTTAGGAAGCTCATAGTCACGTGAGAAGAAAGGTACATAGATGACAATTTTCAGTGCAGTGGTAGAAGTCTGCATGGGATGCTATGGGAGCATAGAGGAGAAGACACAGGAGAGTTTGGAGGGAGGCTTATAAAAAGAGGTGGCAGCCTTTGGATGCTCTGAGGTGTGATCCTGGTGAACTAGAAGTGCGAGGACATTCTAAGCAGAGGGGAGTGTCGGAGGGAGAGGGTGTTGTACAGTGAGCTACGTCGAGGCTGACGCATGGCTCGTGAGAGTGACAGATGAAGCTCAGGTAGGCAGGGGCAGCTCATGAGCAGTGTGGCTTGATCCTAAAACCTGTGGGGAGTGGTGGGAAGCTGTGTTTTGCATTGATCTGAGATCTTGTCACTGTGGTCTAGATCATTTTAGGTATGTTAGGTACCCTTACCCTTGGCTTTAGTTATAAAATAGGGTTTCCTTGTTGACTTCTTAATGCCCAGCTAGTCACTGATGAAACGTTGCTTTGTTTTGTGGCCGGTGCTCTTAGTGGAGTGATGCAAACCACACGGACTTCATTGACTCGGCCAGCACCATGCTGCACTACGCAGTCGCCTTTCTGAAGCCCACCAAGGCCTCGGCTCGCCAGCTGCCCCCAAGTGTAGCCAGGGTGGACGCCAAAAGCCGAGTGCTGTTTCCTCTCGGGTTGGGACATGCTGCTGAGTACGTCCGGCCTCGGCTGGCGCTTATCGGGTAAGAAAACAACAGGGCTGCCCCTCTCTCACTCGGCTGCTGGAGGCCACACCTGAACTCCGCTTTATTCTTAGGGATGCAGCCCACAGAGTCCATCCCCTCGCAGGACAAGGGGTCAACATGGGCTTTGGGGATATCGCCAGCTTGCTCCATCACCTCAGTACTGCAGCTTTCAATGGGAAAGACTTAGGTAAGGATGCAGGTACCTTCGAGAAATATCCAGAAGTCATGTAGTTAGGGAAGATCAAGACCCTAAAACACCCCTCAGTAGCCAGATGCGGTGGACCTCACTACTTTCCTCTTTCCTCCAGGCTCCATAAGCCACCTCACAGGTTACGAAACAGACAGACAGCGTCACAACACCGCTCTTCTGGCTGCCACTGACCTACTGAAAAGGCTCTATTCCACCAGTGCCACTCCGCTTGTGCTGCTCAGGACCTGGGGCTTGCAGGCCACAAATGCAGTGTCTCCGCTCAAAGTAAGAGGTCGCTCACGGCTCTCCAAGAGTCTTGCTCACTGAGGAATGACTTTGCCGTGACTTTTAATTTCTTTGAATTAATTTTCTTGGCTGTAAAATTATCTTTATCTAAATATTTTCCCCAGTGGTTATGAGTAAAAAAGTCCTTGCTGGACTTATTGGTGCCAGGGCCCATCTAAGCAGTAACTTTATACAGTAGAGGAGGAGTGTACAGTGGTGAATGAATAGGGGCTTTTAAAGATAAAGATGCTTTCACTACTTTTGCTGCTTGGCCACTTTTTTGCTGAGAAACTTCCATTTAAAGACACTTTAGAGGGACTCTTGGGAAGAGTATCTATCTGGGACATGGCTAAGTTTTTGCTTTAATCCCTTTGGATATTTTAAAGTATTTTCTTCACCCATCCTCACACCTTACAACGTCAGAGTACCACTTTGTTTCATTTTTCTTTAGGAACAGATTATGGCCTTTGCAAGCAAGTGAGTGCTTCTCTTCTGGAGATTATGTTGATGAAAACGAACATCCTTTCCCAAGACCACCACATATATTTTCATGATTTAATTTAATAAATTTACATTACATTAGAATTCTCTAGTCTCTTTTCTTCCTTATTTGGGCTTCACAGCCCCTTAACTAGAGTGATAATTTGCTGTGAGGAGGGCTTATAAACCAAGCCAAGAAAAAACTCTAAAGTAAAACTATTATGATTTTGTTAAAAAGAGTTTTTTATTACTAAAACAAATATCACTAAGGTGCTGTCTCATTCATTTTCACTTGTTAACAATCCTTTCTAAAGAGAAGATTTATATAATTTTTTAAAATGCTGATCATAAATTTACATAATTTTTTTGATAAAGAAATATTTAATTGATGCATTTTTATTAATTTTAAAACAGTAATTTTAACATTAGAATGCAAATTAAACAAATTGTTTAACCTTTGTTATAGGTGCACTGGACTTTCTGAAAAGAAAACCAAATGTTATTAATGCTAGTTATTACTTCCGTATCACAGCACCAGGATCTCCATTTTGTTTATGGCCTGTCTCTGGGACACCAATGTCTATTCAGTAATAAAACAATAAATAATTTCATTGCACAGGTTTCTAGACTTCAGGAACCAGGTCAAATGGGAAAAGCTGATTAGCAGCAGAATTTTTTCATATTTGGTTGCAGACTGGTGGCTGATTGCATGGGGAGTTGCTGTGGGTTTCTGAAGAGCTCATCTCACATCCCACAGATGCCTCTTGAAGAGATTTTTGGATCCATTAGATTTGTATACTATAAAGAACATACACCCAAAAATCTTGATTTGAAGATGAAATGAGAAGAAACAGTCTGCTTTTGAACCAAGCTAAGCTATTCTTGGGAACAGCTTTTGAAGGAATGAGAAATGTTATTACAGGGGAGCTTTTCAGGCAAAATTCATAAGATACTACTAGAGTAAAAAATGACATCACAAAGGTTTCTGGAATCTCAGGGAAAACGTGCCCAGAAGGAAAGATGGCAACCACTGTGGAAAGCTGTGTGACTACTAGCAGAGTCTAGAAAGGTCACTGTAGGGAGAAAAGGTCATCTTTCACAAAAAGTGGAAAGGGAGCCCAGGTGAGAATATGGGCTCTCCAAAACGATGCAAAAAAAATCAGACAAGATAGGAAATTAAGGCACACCTTGCAAGGACCTTGACAATCCACGTAGGATGTTCTTTGTATGATGATGATGATGATGATAACACACAATATCCACTGTGTGCCAGGCCATGTCCTTAAGTATTTGAAATATAGAACACATTTATAGAAAAGAAACTTAACCAGCAATAGTAGACTGGATAGGATTCCTTAATAAGGCCCAAAAGGTACACTAAGGGGAAGAAAAGGTCATTACAGACAAGTCATTTTTTTCTAAGAAATAAAAATTCTCATTCCAAATTGCTCCTAAAATGGATAAACTGGTTAATTCTCCAGATGTTCTAATCAAGATTATCAGAATATATGTAGACACATTTTTTAAGTTAATGCAGCTACCAAAGAGTTCTGGAGGTATCTGGGATGACCAAAGAAGTCTGAACACTGCCCCCGTTTATAAGAAGAAAAGCTTCAGAGACAAGCTCTGACAAACACCAGGGAATCGCACCTCTCTGGACCCGTCAACCTGGAGGATGGTCTCTCCCTAATCATGTGGAACAGCATTTAGTGGATGACTGGTTCTAGCACCCTACCTTTGTGATGAGAATGGGAAAGTATCTAGATGCCATGTGGTATGTTAAAGAGACCACAAAGAACTAAGGAGGAATTTTCTTCAAAAGACAAAGGCTGCGGAAGGAGGGATTAGAGCAGAAGACTACAGAGAAGATAGATTTCAGCTGAACATATAGATTTTTTAAATCAGTGCAGTCTCAGATGGAAATAGTGGTCTGAAACATGCCTAACCGAAGCTGAATGATAACCAGTTAAAAATGTTAAGGGAATTCTGCAGTAGTTAGAAGATTGGATTATATATTTGGACTCTTTCCAACTCTAAAGATTCTACTAGTTCACTATGTATTAGCATTTTTTGAGGAAGACAATAGGTGTAAGGTGACCTCAGTATAATAACAGCCAGTGTGAAGAATCGGAAGAAATTTCACATTGAATTAAAACAATTAAAATTTGGGGGATAAGTATATAGAAATTTGCCCACTTGCTTGCACATCAGATGTTCAATAGTTATTGACTCAGTAGAATAACTAAAAAATAAGGTTCCCTAGGAATTGGCATGAGGGCCAGGTACTTAACGTCTTTTGTGAGAGCGCTGGAAGTCGACTGAAAGCTCCAAGTTTGGGAGGTACAAACTGCTGGAAAGAAGCTGGAGGCAAAGAGCCAAGGCAAATGAGCCAGTCAACAGGAAGATCTTTCAAGTTCAAGAGGACTGGAGTGGGTAGACAAGAAGCTGATGATGGTGATGGGGGAAAGTACAAGAAGATAATGAATTTTAGGGGAAAGAATTCACAGTACTGTTGTGGGCTAAAATGGCCAACCAAATCAAATGTTAGGTTATCAGAAGGGTGTCAGAAACTGTGGAGCTAGATAAATAACTTAGAGAATGTTAGCTAAAATGATCAGGGGCCAGGATAGGAGAGAGACTGCTAAAAACAGAGAGACTAAAAGGGCAAACTGAACAGCTGTGACCAAAATCTAGATCCTTAAATAGCACAGCCACAGGCCTCCCACCACAGACCAAAAGCGAGGGTACAGATGTATTTCTTAGAAATACACAGAAAATAAGTTTAGGATCACAAATGATTATAAACACATTAGCTAGGAAGGAGGTACTGGCACTGAAAACACACACATTCCTATGAGGTTGGACATGTTCATTAATCCCAGTTGACTTATAAAAGTTGATTAAAAGAAGGTGGTCTGTACAAGGCAGCCACTCCATCCCAAAACATGTCCTTAGAGACTGGATGGCCTTCCTTAAGGCGCGATCTGCGCAGGTCAGAGTTGCTCTCCATCCTGCTAAGACTTAGGTGGCTCTTAGCTGGCTGACTGGAGCCAGCACAAAGCAGGATCACACAACTTCAGATACAGTACCTTTTTTCCCTCCCTCGAATTATACATGAAAAGCAAAACTAAGTAGTTTTCTCTTTCTTTGCTGGGGAGTAAGGGGGAGCGGTAGAAATAAGGGACAGAGCCATGTGTGGGGAGGAAAAAAGACTGGTGTTGACAGGTCATGGGATTGGAATCAGCTGAGGTTAGCAAGTAAGAGGAAGATTAAAATGTTCAAAGGAATGAGGCACTCAAAGGGTTGAAATGAAATTTTTCTTTGGTTCCCAGGGACCTGTCCCTGGGTTCTCCAAGGTTAAGTTCCAAAGCTGTTCCTTTTGGCTCTCTGTGACACACAAGCAATCTCAAAGATTTAGACTCTGGTACCAGCTGTGCGAATAGAATGGTTAGGTGACAGTTCATATCAGATGTGTAAAAGGAATCACCAGACTTAATGGCAAGAGCTGTCCATAAAAGCCCCTTCCTCCTGATGAAGCCAACTGCTGGGTTTCAATCCAGGCAGTTCCCAGACTACCTCAGAACATGATGGAGTCTTCTCTCCTTCTCTCTTTAAAAAGGTTGTTGGCAAATGCAGGCTTCAGAGGAAGGGCCTGGCCTCACTGGGAGATGCCCAGAGACTGCAGCAGGTGAAAGGTGGCCCCCAAGGCCCAGCCTGTCTCTATGTTGTTCACTTTCTTTGTGAGCTGTTGGGGAGGAGAAAAAAAAAATTCACATTTTCACTGAATTTTCAACTCTAGCACATAACACGGGCAGAGAATATCTGCAAAGATCACCCACATGACCAAAGCAAGGCAAATTGGGAGTAGCTAGTCTTTGGAGGCTTCCCCACTACGCTGTCTGTGACAGTTTCCCTCCTGTCGTGTGTGGCCTGTTGCCCCTACACCTGCCAATCTGAGCCCTGAATCTGCTGGCCCAGGAAGTGGGCTCACCCAGGCCTCCAGACAGGACGTTCTGAACTCTCTCCCTAACCCTGAAACTAAATATAACAGGAATGAGAATAGGTTTAGGGGTAGGAAAGAACATAATTCATACTTTGCCAAATAACTGCATCTTTTTAAGCACTAATTATTAACCAACCAAGGCACTTAAGGCATTCTAGGCTAGGTTGAGCCTCCATTAGTTCAGTGACCCTGGGCAAAAATTTAGATAGGACTTCAACTACATAACAAGGGGATTCAATTAGTGTTTATCAAATTGTTTTCTTCAGAATCCTAGGGGTTCCTTAGAAGTGCTTCAAAGAGAAAGGGAGGCCAGATGGTAAGGAGTTCCAGGCCCACTACCTCTGCTTCAACCAGATGGCTCTGCTTTTGTCAGTTTTGCTGGCATTCTGCATCAGCTTTTGTTGAATAAAGATGCGAACACACACACACACACACACACACACACACACACACACACACACACACACACTTGCACACACACACACACCACCCCCACCCCCACCCCTCTCTCTTGCACGCACGCACGCGCCTGGAAACCAGTGGGTTGGTTTTAGTCTTCCTAGTCCTAATATTTTATGACACAATACTTCGTTGACCTGATGAAATCCAGTCTGGTTGCTGTGCCAAAAACTGGGGAGAATGGCATGTGAATCATTTTGGGGTTTAGTCTGAGACACCTGAGTCAAACTGAGTGTCCCTCCCATCAAAGGCTCTTCCTCTGTTCTCAGGACTGTGCTGACAGTCTAGGAATATAGATGGCAAAGTGAAGCTATCTCTGGGACAGGACTGTCCACCCGATTTAAATTCTGCTGCCACTGAAATCATAAAGAGTAAAAGGATGTCAGCACTGGAAATGGCAGGAAATTGTCCTTAAATGACTTGGGTATAGTTAATGCTTAAGTAGAAAAAGGTACCTTAGTACTACTATATACTGAGGACTTACAGTGACCTCTCTTATCCACAAATCTATCCCCAACTGGTGTGAAATGCCTACACTACTAACAATACCAATATGAGTAACTTACTATGTGCCAGGTATGATGCTTTACATGCATTATCAGTTTTCCTAACAGCCCTAAGAAATAGGTACTGTAAGGATGTGTGGGTTTTGCATGAGGAACCTAAAAGTTAGAGAGGGGAAGTAAATCATCCAAGGTCACAGAGCTTAGTACCTTTAGTACCCTTTGCAGAATCAGAACCTGAATCCAGATCTGATGGACAAGGCGCATGCTTTAAATTCTACGCTACACTAGTCTACTGGCAAGTAACTCTTCTGTTTTAGGCACTTTAAGTGCTGATGTTCTTGACAGATAAAACACATTAAATCCAAATACTTAGTACAAAAGAGTTTATGAAATCTGTGTATCACAAGAAATGGGGTAATATAAACTCACCTGGAACTGAGGAAACAGGAAGGGGAAGTGGCACAACGGAAGGTGGGGAGGAGGCTCAAAAACAACAAGTACAGTCTACTCGACCCCCAAGTTCAAAATTGCCGTGTGCCATCTCCTCTAACAGACTACACGCTATTTGAGGACAAACATTACATCTTAATCATCTTTGTAACTGGATGAAAAAAGGGACACACACTAAATTTGACAAGCTCAGGGGAGGTCCACATAGTGGGCCTTGCAAACCTAGAGACCGAAAATAACCACAGAGTTGTCCAAATGCAAAAATTCCTAAATAAAAGCGGGTCACGGAGGTTAGTCATGTCCTGGGCCTGTAGCTTCCTTGACAAAGGTCAATCTTTACCTTTGAAATTATCTATTGTCTTTGTGCATCTAAGATAACATACCTTTGAAATATCAGAGTAAGTTTCTTTTCCAGACCCCTCAAAGGCACAGCCGCCAACACCAGAGCCCAAGACCACAGTGGTAACTTGCTGCCCACACACCATCTCTATGCTGTAAATGTTAACTGTCCTGTCCCATCGATGTAAAAGTATGTCTCTCTGTTTCGCTTTTTATCCAATCTCAGAGATTTCCCCACTTTGCTTTCTCCCGCCCCCTTTATCTACCATCAATGGATTTTGTGTAACCTTGCTTACATTTTCTTCTTTGGTTCTAATGTATAAAATAAGCTGCAAAACTGCCATTCTCCAGAGCATTTTCTCAATCCATTGAGATTCTGCTTCCTGGCAATTGTCACTTGGCTCAAATAAACTCTTATAAGACTTTTTCTTAGGTTGGATGTTCTTTCAACATAACCATAATGTACAATTTTTCAATTAAGGTATAGAAAACAAAAAAATAAATGGGATGGATGAAACATAAGATGTGTTTAGAATAAGTTACTACAAATAAAGTTGAGCCTACATGTTCTGAAACAGATGGACAGAGATAGGATGACAAAGAGGGACCCAAGATCAAGAGGCACTAAATATACGAGGCACACATAAAAAAAAAAAATATATATATATATATATATATATATTATAAATATATATGAAATATTACGTATACACAAGGTATTCAATATTCATGAGGTCTTAGATAACGCACTTATTGGTGACACCCTTCTGGTCTTTCATGTCCTCTGCTAAATAAAACCACCTAGTGGGCTAATGAGTGAGCTAATGCTACCGGACAATGTGCCTGCACCTGGTACCTTCCGTCCTTCTGCCGCCTTGATTAAACTTAAGTTCTAGTACTTCTAAGCACACTATCAGCAGCAGCAGGAGGACTCAGGAAGTGTGGCACTTCCAACCTGCTTGCACCTTCTCCTGTGTGTTCACCTATCTCATTTCTTTCCCTTTGCTTCTCGCCGTGCATTTTGAAATTTATTTAATAAACCATGTGACTTGGGCATCTTAATTTGGGCTGTAGGCCTTTCTGCTCTGTGACCTCTGGGATACTGTGCCTGGTACTATACTGTACTTAGAAGCTGCCACTGCAGCACGGTCATTTCCACATTCATAGTGCCCTGCACAGTGCTTGTCCATAGCCCAAATAGAAATCCTCCTAATTCCACCTATAGCCACTCTGATTATTAAACAAGTTAACTCTTTTCTCCCAACTCCCAAAGAAGTCTGTGATGAGACTCCTCCTGCCCACTCTCTTACCTGTAAGACGGTGCTGTCTGCAAAGCCAAAGCCATCCCTCAGCAAGGCTGTGATGTAACTGAGATCCATGCACAGGAAGGGACTGCCTGAGGTGAAGTTGTCCAAGTTGTCACACACTGACGGGGGGAAGAGAGTGAAGAGAGGAATTCAAGTTTGCAGCCAACTGAGAGGTGTAATTTTCTCTAAATACAGACTTCGAATAAGCAGCAAGGTTCTCCTTTTGGTTGATGCCTAAGAGTCTTGGAGGCTAGAACTGTGCACTGACAGCCTCTACAAGACCGCATGCAGCATCTCAAGAACTTGCATATTTTTGATATCTTATCTACTCAAAATTATATGGGCCCTAGCTTATTTGCTAACTTTCTATGACTTACTGTTGGGGCTTAATTCAACCAAGTCCTTTATGTATTATTAATGCTGAGGCCCAGAAGACAGGGAATTACCAGTTAGCCCTACTTTGGGGCCACTGGTTAAGATCATGTATATTTTCAATAGGCTCTCAAGGAAGCCTCTGGCTACTTCCCACATATTTTGGTGCTCAGTGTTTCATTAACACTGATAACACTATTCCAATTTTTTATTTTTATTTTTTTAAAAGAAGAGATGTAGAAAGAACAGGTTTTCACTATTTCCCCCAAACCTCTTGTACTCTCATATTTTTCTGTGCCACCTAGTGCTTTTAACTCCCGGCAAAGACAGGAAACCAGCCTTCTGAGAGCCTTCCTGCTGACTGGCACTTTAGGTCACTTTAAGGTCACTGGAGTTGGCAGGCTCAGCCTCACAACTTGCTTTCATGGGCTTCCATTGGCTTCCATTGCCACTTACCTTCCCTTGCTTTTCTTTCAAAATCTTCAACTTTTAAAACACCTCCCTTTTCATAATCTGAAATGAAACAGAACAGTAGCTGATATCAAAAAGCCTTCAAAGAAACCTAAGAAAATTCATCCTAATGATATTTATAATAAAGAAAAACAGGAAATAAAATTGTCAACATTAGAAAACTGGATAAACATGACATATTCATACAATGTAATCTATGCAGTCTATTTTATTTACTTATAACCTATTTCACGTTATGTATATTTAACCATAATAAAAAAATTTGGCCCATTTAAAATAACACATTAAAAAATAGGAAATGAATTCATATCTCAGGCCATGACAGATCACATACATACATTCTCTCAGCTAAACAAAAACATTACTATTGTGATTAAAAAAAAAAGTTATAAAGGAGGAGGAGGAAACTCTGGAGTGATGGATGTTTTTTATATTGAATTTGAGTGAATACATATGCTAAAACTTAGTAAGCTGGGGCCGGCCGAGTGGCGCGTTGGTTAAGAACTGGCTTGGGACGCCAGAGGGCCCCGGTTCGGATCCCACATATGAGGGCCAGTGACTGCCCTCTACAGCTAAGATGCTGAACAACAGCTCAACCTGGAGCTGGGCTGCCTTGAGTCGCCTGCGTCGG